TGTGTGTGTGTGTGTGTGTGTGTGTTTCAGTGGTCCCCTGTGGGTTGTCCATACGTTGTTTACCCATCTCCTTTTTCCTTCCTGTGCATCCTAATGCTTTCCGAAGGACGAAACCGAGAGAGGAGAGGAGGGGGGGGAAGACGTCGAGGAGGAAAAAGAAGGTTGGGCAGAAATACGACCGAAAAAGAAGTGAATCATCAGCGAAACATGACGGTTGAGGACTGAGAAATCAACAAATCAAGACGGTTTTCCCACCGGTGCCGAGCTGGTTGTAAACTCTGCTCTGCCCAATTAAAACGGCAACAAAAAAATCCAGCTAAGATTTATCGTTTTCATCACATTCGCTCTCTTTTTCATCCAGTGCCCTCTAGTGGCACAGATGTATACCTACGTTAACGATAAGGATCGGTCTGAATGTCTATAAACAAGTTGTTGAACAAACCAGGAATTACTTTTTTATAGGACTTCTGCTGAACTGGAGTCAGATCTGAACTTGGCTTTAGTGTATTTGTTGAGCTCTGAGCCTGTAGAGCAGCGGGAGGCGGGACATGACGTATACATTCTGCTGTTGTTGACAGCTCGTCCACGCCGGCATCGGCCCTCATCGCCAAAAGCTCGTCTTTCCAAATTTGACGTCTTCGTCTTCTACGTGTACGACTCCTCTTCTTCACCCAGAGAAGTGTTAAGAAACCTCATCAACACGTCCACTCGCTCGCTGAGAGCGTTCCAGACGTTTTCCTGCTGGTTTCACATGGAGTCACTCTGACATTTTACCCGGGGGGGGGCGGGGGGCGGGGGCTGCAGGAAAAGTTCCAGAAAAAGTCCAGAGCAACTGACTCAGACGTTTGTGTTCTCACCGCTCCAGAACGTTTCAGGAGAACGTCCAGGTTTCAGTGCAGGTCTGGAAACAGCTTCAGACACCAACCATCATAAAAAGGTCTCTTGCTACTGTAAGGTCTTTCTCAGTAAAAGCATCCACTGTTTGGCAGGCGATGTCCTAAATGAGATCTGACAGTGTCCTTCCCTGGCACAGTGCATCAGGACGCTCTTTAATGGCTTCCAGTTTGCTGCTGGAGGTTGTCGGGTGATCTTCGAGAGTCCCGAAACCCCCCCCCCCCCTTCCCGGGCTCGCGTGAAACCCACCCCATTTGGCCGAGGCTGTAAATATTTAATCCGCTGCACCTACATCTCTGACGAAGTGCTCCGAACGCGCTCTCAGAGACGGAGTGACACTTTGAATAAAACAAACAGGAAAACAGAGAAATTGCTCTTTGTGTTCTGAATTTAGAAACACACTGTTCTGGCTTTTTTGTTTTTCCATCTTTTCTTTCTTCCTGTGAGCACTCGGAGGGCCAATTTACAAACAGTCGATTGCTCTTGTGCTGAGTCAAATAGATTTCAGCTCCGCGCTCTGGCACTTAAGTCGCCCATCTCTAGCTTTCAAGACGGCCATTTGCTGCCGCCATTTTGTGTCATCTCCAGCAGACGCAGGTTATCGTCTCTGTTCTAGAGTCTCAGCAGGAAGTCTTGACAATTGCATTTTTCTGTCAGAACCAATAAGACGTCTTTAAGTAAGATTTTCATGGAGCACTTGACAGGAAACAGGGGTCGTAGGCCAATGACCGAAGTTAGAGATCAACACTAGAACAAATAATGGTTCTAATGCCTGTTTAACGACATTGTTCTCGTCAATGGTTCCAACATTCCACGTGTTAAGTCGATCGTTTGTTTTCTATTTCCTGTTCAATTTTGATACTTGTGAGTTTTGACGCCTGTTTGAGGTTCTATCGTTCGTTCTATCGTCAAAGTGGTTTAGATTCTTTTCCCTGTTTGAGTTAATAGTGAAGTTCAACGCTGAATCTCTCATTGATGTTCACAGAGATAGTTTGTGTAACTGGAAAGATAAGAGAAGGTTGATTTCTCTGTTTTCATTTTTTACCTTCACCAGTTTTCTTACCATGTGTTTGTTTGTTCGTCGGCAGGTTGATGCAAAAAACGAAGAAAACTCGGTAGAAGGATGAAACATGGACCAAGAAAGAACCCGTTCAATTCAGGTCCAGATCCAGACGACAGGGCAGATTTCACTTCTTCAGAGAAGTGAGATTTTTAACATTTCCCTTATTTTCTTTCATTTCGTGGAAATATCTTCTAAATAAAGAACGAGGTCCCCGTTAGTGAAGGGAATTCTTTTTAAGCAGATTAAGTTTGATTCCTCAGTAACAAACACAACCAGTGGAGGGCGCTCCGTGCAACACGTCACTGATCATTACGTTTTCAGATAGAAAAACTTCCATCCAACTGAAAATCCTAAAGCAGGATGATGGAAAAAAAAAAAAAAAAAGTAGAGATGAAAAAGACTAAATATCACTTTAGTTCTCTTCAGCCATCCCTCTCCCTCCCTCTCCCTCCCTCTCTCTCTACATCTCTCCCCTTCATCTCTCCCTCGTTCGCCCCCTCCCTCCCTCCCTCCCGCCTGCAGGTGCACATAAGAGTCCTCAGATGAGTGTGTTCGTTTCAAGACAAGATTGAAAGCTCTTCATCTGTAAC